ATTGACTAAATTTAAAGGGGCTTTCAGGGTTTGGAACACAGTTTTGGCAGGAAGTATGCCATGACCTCTTATTTTTATGAAAAGGCCCATATTTAGGTATATGGGAAAGTTTCTTGACATAAACTATTAGGAGTTACTACAGAAGGCATGGTGCTGGTAGTGTCTTTGGGAAGTGAAATACCATTTTATACTTAAACCTTGCTTGATTCACCTCTGCCCCACGTTTGCTCCTGATTGCTTATGCCAAGACAAGGTTGTGGGTGATTTTTATTTGCACCTAGGTTCATTTTAAATGAGCCTCCACAATTGCCCTATTTTCCAATTATATATAAGGAAAGCAGAGCAAAGAGCTAAAGGATGACTCTACTTTACCTTGGTGGAGAAGATCTGACAGAATGGATCTCAATAGCAGTGTCACCCCACGTCAGTGTATTACTGTTCAAGGTGGGGTGCTTTGCAAATTGTGAGTTATCTCAATTAAAGGACATTTTTGATTGATTTGCATTTAGAAAACTAAATCAGAGGTGATTTAAGGTTATGCCAACTCAATTTCACTCACTTGGCCTGTGAGATGCATTCATAGATGGAGAGAAAGGGCTATCCCTGTAGCCAGGAAGCCCGGAAGTGCATGTAGCTCAGTCTAGTAGATGCCTCTGCTGCTGTTCAGGTTCACCCAGGGGAGTGTGTTGTGCACGTGAACTCCATCTGTCCTGTGTGTAGAGATGGAAGAAGGGTTGTCAATGCTTTTATGCAGGGCTTTGTCACATCCCCAAGTTCAAACTCTTGAGCATGGCACATCCATGTCCACTCTTTCTTCCCTTTCCTAAGCCATATCGGATCCTCTGCTTACCTTTGCTTATCCTCACATGTGCCATTCTTGTTCAGTTAGCCTTTGCCAGGGGACTCCTTCTGCCACATGGACTTTCCTTTCTAGCCTCACTTAAGTAAGGTTTCTCCCTGCCCATTGTGTGACTTCTACCAGATCCCTACCACCTAAGTATATTGACTCATCTCATACCCTCTAGACTGCCGCAGGCAGACAGTGTTGTCTTATTGCCCAATGTGCCTGGCACAGTGTTGTGATCAGAAAGTCAGGAAGAAAGTGGTCAGTCTTCCTCTGCAGGGGTGATGTTTCCTCTCTACAAAAAGAAAAAAAGGAAATATGTTTTCCTTATGTCTTAATACCTGACCAGTACTGATACACATAAGATGGAATGGGGAATAGTAAGGGACAGTCATTGAAAAATCCATGTACAGGGAAAAACTGGCTGAGCGATCGGCATTTCATAAAGGAATTATGGATGGCTCAGAATATCGGCATCCATAAAATCTGGGAATGAGAGGCATGGTATCAAGTTCCCCAGGACTTTCTTATTTTCACATCCTTCAGAACTTTAAAAGTCAGATAGTTGAGAGGCTGGGACTAAGCCGGCAAAAAAACCCATCTTCTTTTTTTTTTTTTTTTTTTCCTCACAACACATGCACTGAACTTTCTTGGCAAATGGAAGCAAGGCTCTTCCATTATTCATTCATTTTATTACATTCTTATCCAGTGCCTACTCTGGGTCAGGTATTGCACTGGTTGCTTGGGATACAGCGCCTATTTTCAGGGAGGTGTTGCAGGCTTCCTAGAGAGAGAGAAGTAAATAGAACACTGCAATTCACTGGGGACTATAGTCCCCAAAGAGAACAAAAACATTTATAATGGACTTAGTTTGTATCCCTCGGGGCCTCCTATCTGCTTTGTACAGAGGAGGATCTACTGCCCTTTGCCCCTTTCTATATAAACAAAGACTTCATAGTGTGGTCTGGAACATTTGTACCACCACTGAGAGAATTCAAAGCCAAGGAGAATTTATTTGTGGTAATAGGTGTATTTGGAAGTGAGGAGCTTAAGGAATGTTGACTAGTTGATGACTAAGAAAGGCAAGAAAATAATTTGTTTTTCTCCAAAGAAAATAGAGTTTGGGGACTGAGACAAGGTAGATTTTTGTTGGTCACAAGCAAAGAATCTTTCTGCAACTGTTTATGTGAATTTCTAGGAATCTTTAAGAGAATTTCAGGGAGCGAAATGGAATGTTTCTTGTTTGCTTTATAAAGAAACTATTTAAAAGGGCGAAGAGGTGTGTGTGTGTCTGTGTGTGATATGGGGGGATGTGCAGAAGGCTGGGGGAACAGACTGTTCTTCCCAGTTGGACCCCACCTATCTTTCAGGTTCCAGTTAACTCTTAGTCCACCCCGATGCCACAGGCCTGGATAAACTTTATTCTCGCCATTGTTCAGCCACATCTCCCCTTTCCTTGTCAATCCTTGCTTGCTTCCCCCAAATTAGATGCTACTCCATTCTTTGCATCCCTGGAACAACACTCTCATACCTTCCTCATAGCACATACCCCCTTGTTTCATAATCTATCTATCCATAACAGCCACTCATTTGTGAGGACAAAAGGGCATAGAGCACATGGCATTATCACCACTAGCATGGGGTCCATCCTCCTTGAAGTCGGATGTTACAGGCCCAGTTCTGCTACATAGTTAGCTATGTAACTGTTAGGCATGTTTGTTAACCATGGTAAGCCTCAATTCCTTCTCTGTAAATTGTAAATATAATAGTACCAGCCACATAAATTGTTTACTTATGCAGATAAAATTAGACTACAGCACATACCCAGGGGCTAGGTGGGCACTCAGTGAGTGTTACTTGCCTCCATCAGGTCCTCAGTAAGTCCTCCTTGTATGACCTGAAGGACTATCTTGGCGAGAATGGTTTCTCCTCAGCTGCATTCTCGCTGTGGTCCTTCAGTAATTCAGATTCCTGATACCTAAGAAGTACAAGTATTTATAAAGTCCTCAGGTATTTTTAAACTTTAAAATTCTCTGGGCCATGAAAGGAACAAACAATAAATGGTACATGGAGGCATAATTCGTAAAGTCTTAACATGGTCCAATGAAAATGTCCAAGATTCAATACAACTGTCATCTTTTGTACTTCATTCAATCTCAGTTTTCATCTCTCTGAAAGCTTCCCACAGTTGCTCCGGAGAGATCTCACAAATTGTTTTTGGGAAGGTAGTCCCAAGATCGTGTGCTTTCAGTCCTGCTTTCTACCATCCCAAGAAACATGGTTCTGGGAAGACAACAATACACTAAAATGTCTGCTTTTGGTACGTATGAAACTGCACACTGTCTACATCACACGATGGAGGTACAGAGAGAGGGTTTTAGGCTGGCGCATGGGATCATTTTTACTTTTGAAGAAATCCGCCCTCCTTACTTGCTGGCATGAACTATAATGGGGAATGAATTGAGGCAAAGAGCCTCTCTTGACCCAATGTGGAGGTACCTTTCTCTCAATTCCTCCCCCCCCCGCGGTTGAGCTCAGAAGATCACAGGTAAATTTATTCAGGACAAAAATTCAAGCTGCACTAGCTAGAAGTTAGGAAAAACCAGGCCCCACCTCAGCTAGCTTCCTTTTTTCCCTTTTCTTTTCTTTCTTTCTCTTTCTTTCTCTCTTTCTTTTTCTTTCTTCTTTTCACTGATTACAATGTGAATGTTTTAGTTATTTTAAAAAGATTTTTTTTTTTTAATCAAACAACAACGAAAAGAAGTCCTCCAGGTGTCCCTCGCTGAGCCAGCAGCAGTTAGGTGAGAGCAGGGCATATCTATAATTCAGCTCGGGAATATTTCTCTTAATAATTAATCGAGCGCCACAAAAGGAAGAGGCCCAAGAGGGCCATCGAACAAAGCTGCCAGCTGAGGCCGACAGTGGCCGCCTCAGCGCCAACTGACCCGCCCAAGGTCGGATTTACTCCAGCAGTCCCGGTGCGCGTCGCCACTGCTTGCTCGGTCCATCAGAGGGAGCTGGAAGAGGTGCCTGGAGCCCGGGTCGTTACCTGGCCTTGTGTGTGTGCGCGCGTGTGTGTAAAAATTCGCACTTCCCATCGGTAACCTTTCTTTGAGTGGATGTGTGGGAATTGCAATTTTACATCCATGTCTATGGGCATTTCATACGCCTGCCACCTAATAAGCAACGTGGAAGTCCATCCCGGGGTGTGGACGCCGCTCCGGGTGCACTCGCCTGCCCCGCGGGGTACTATGGGTTTTGCTTGCTTGTTTTTGCTGTTTAATGAGGGTGGGTGGTGTTAGAGGTCCGACCACTATGATAAAGACCTCCCTGGAGCCAAACCCCTAGCGAGTTGTGTTCTTTCTGCAGCAACAGGTTCGCGGAGGGCTCCTTCACCCCTTCTTAAAATCCTCCGCCCCCGGGCGGGACTTGGAAACCGCTCAGAGCCCTGCGACTTTCTCCCACTCGGACTTGTGCCTCCCGTGCGCAACCCTTAACCTGGGCCTGATTCCAATTTCTGCAGCCCACCCCTCACCCGAGTCGAGCACACTTTTAAAGTCGGCCTCCTCTGCGCCCAGAGGCCCGACCCCCGAGTGGAGGCTGGCAAATTGTGCAAAGGAGGCGGAGACCAAGGGGAATCGACACGTTCGTAGGCTACTGGGGGGCTCCCAGTTAGCGGCCTCGCCAGAGATGCATCCAGGCTCCCAACCCCACAAACCCGTTATGCGGGGCTGTGCGAGCGTGCGTGTGTGTGTGTATGTGTGTGTGTGCGCGCGCGCGCGCTGAGCTCTAGAGAAAGCGGGTCAGGGAGAGGAGAAGACGCACAGAAGCACCCTGTTGGCGAGACTGGACCTCCCGTCGAGGTCTTCCCTCCCAACCTCTCTCTTGGGCTCCCGCTCTGCCGCGGGGACCCCCATTTCAGCTCCAACGGGGACGCCTCTTCTTCCAGGATTAGGGCTTTGCCTCTGGGGGCGACGGCCAGAGGCTCCCGGAATCGCTCCCTGTTGCTCCCCAGCGTCGGGGGGTCGGTCGGCCGCGGGGCGGGCAGTGGCGGCGTCGTGACTGTGCCCGCCCCGCGGCGCGGGGAGGTGCCCCAGGCTACAGCCGGAACGCCACACCCTCGGCACGGCCCTGGCCCCGCCCCCGGCCGGCGCGCGTTCCCGGCCAGGGGAGGCGTGTGCTGCTTCTGCAGCCAGCGAGAGAGGGAGAGGGATGGATATTGGAGGAGGAATTCGGGCTTAACAAGTGATCGCTGCTGTCTAGGATTTTGTTTCTTTTTCTGGGGAACCTTGACTTCCTTTTCCGATTGAGCCCTCCTGTGCTGAACTCCAAAGGAACCAGAAGTCTTGGGGTCTTCCCCGGGGTAGCCCTGATCCCCACCCTGGGCTCCAGCAGCGAGGACTCTGTGCCCCCCCCACCCCGCTCACCCCCCTCCCCCGCCAGGCAACAGAACTTGTTTCGTGGATATTTTGGAGCTTCCACCTGCCACACCGGAGTGATTCCTTCTACCCCCAAGAACATTCTTCCCCTCCTCCAGCTGTTGCAGCTTGAGGGGGAAAGACAAACCAAGCGGGGGATTTTCTTTATATTTATTTTTCACTCCGCCTGGGAACGGTAAGTATGATACCTCTCTTATCTTTCCTCCACTCTCCTCTTTTGGTTGTTAAGAAACAGTGGACATTTGAGGGATAAATAATATCGGGAATGTGACAGAAGGGCATGAATGGAAGGCGGTTAAAAATAAACCAGGAGGTGGAAGGAGGGAGGTGCAGATGCTGCGCGGCGCTCTGGGGGGCCAACAGTTGTTATTTTCCTAACCGCAGGGATGGGGTGCGTGCGCCCTGCTTAATGTGCCTGAGCGGGAACCTAGGTCTGGAGGGGAGGGTGCGATTAAAGATGTCGTTTCCCAACGAGGTGGGGTTTAGATTTAGCATCGCTTTGCCTCATCCCAGACTCACCGGTTCCGTTCCTTTGGGAACAGCTGGCGAATGGGTTTCAATTGCTGCCTCTCCCAGCATTTGGATTTGCGTGCATTTTCCGAGCATTTCAGCAGCACATAGGGACGGTGTAAATGGCGTGCGTTGAAGTGTATATTTCTCACCGTGTTGGCTTTTTGATTTTCTCAATCTCTCTCTCTCTGATAGGTCCAGGTACCATCCTAAGACAGTTGCGGAAATTAGCACTGGGGGATGAAAACAGCCTTGTTGTTGGGGGTAGGGGGGAGAGGAGGCGGGGAGGAATGCTTGGCTGTTGTTTGGGGGCAGAGGGATTCAGGGAATAGGTAGTCTGCAAAATCCTATTAGTTTAATGGTGTTAAAGAGGAAGGGAAATTTCTATGTAAAGGTCTCCCCCATCAAGGCTCCAGGGAGTAGGCTTGAATAGATTCTCCTAAGCATGAATACCTGGGGAAGGAAGAGAGATTTTTAAACCAGTCTTGCTGTGTGGAAGGTTTTTCCTTTTCTTTCCTTTTCTCTTATTCTTTTCCTTCTTCTTCCCCCTGCTCCCTCCACCACCTCCTCCTCTTACTCTTCTTCTACTTCATCATCATCATCATCTTCTTCTTCTTCTTGGTTAGGGATAGTGAGGTAACTGGTAGCCAATTAAAAGGAAGGTAATTTGCTTTTTGTAAAGTGGGGGAGGGAGAGAAAAAAATGACTAAACCCAAATAAATAAATGAATGAATGAATGAATGAATGAATGGTGTAGAGCAAAATGAGGGCAGGTCTAGCTCTCCTGCAGAGCTGGCAGTGAATTAGAAGACCTGTTAATTCATGACATTCTGGGAGCAGTTAGTTGGGAGGGGGGTGTGCATAGTATACAAATATACAGGCACTTTGGTTCTACTGGGGTTTTATTTAAATAGTGTATTCTAACGGCTTTGAGGGAGTTGGGGAAGAAACTGAGCAAACTCTCAGGCTCTTTGGCCTGTGAAAGTCTTTAAAAGATGGTGGTGGCCTGACCTTCCAGAATAAATGTAACCCGAGGGTGGTTTGGTAGAGACTTGGAGACCTCCTGAGGGTAAACATTTCAGAGTATTTGCTGTTGTTAGGAGCCAGGCAAAGGAAGGGGCTTGTCATTCGAGATACCTTCAGAGGTGTATTTTGTGTCCAAATCAAGCTCACCTCTTGCCCTAGGAGAATGTGTCATGATGATTGGGAAGCCCTCAGTTTGCCACTTCCCTGCTTTGTCACTTCATAAAATTTGGGTGGGTTTAGGCTTCTAGGCTGACAGGATTCAGCAAGGAGCAGCAGGTGGTCAAGGGCTGAATCCCGTTAATGGCTCCAGAAAGCCATTTCCCTTGTGCTCCCCAGATGCTTCTAGTAATAGAAACTGGTAGATGCCCTGAATTCTGACTGTCATTATCCTCCCCAATTCTCTGGGCCACTCTGCATTCTTGGAAGTCCTGTTGGACAGAGTGAATGCAAAAGACAGAAGATTAGGGCAGTTTTTACAGGTCCTGGCTGAGGAGATGAATTAGTTGGACCTAGAGAGAGCCAACTAAGAAGAAAGGCCAGGAATAACAAGTGACAGTAGAGACAGATTGGGGATGCAAGGAAGATGTGATCAGCAAGTGACAGACTGGAAATAAAAGTGGGCAGAGAGAGGCAAGGGAGGCGGGGGGTTGGGAGATTGGAAATAATGGATTAAGTTATGGGGGGGGAAGTCTGATAGGCTGAAAATAAAATCCACACAAACTGGGATTTAAAACATAAGGAAATAGTCCCTTGAGAGGAGTGTAGGAGGAGGCATTGAGGGAAACATGGAGGAACCGCAAGGAGAAAAGATGATTATCAGAGAAATGGAAACTGGGATTAGCTCCTAGGCTGTGGGTGGTAGGGAGTGTTCTGGAGTCTGGGAAACAGAAAAACAACAGGGACATGCTTCAGGGGGTCAGGAAGTGCCAACTTAATACAGGCCATGGGTGAATCTCAAAGTGTCCTGGATGTCCTCACATTCTGTCCTCCCTGTAATTGAGACTGTGGTTTAAGGACATATACATTTGGACGTGAGTAGATTGACAATAAAAACTTAGGTTATGGTCATATTATTCGGAACTGCCATCATTTATTGACATTCATTATGTCTGTGCTGTTTGATCAACATTCACTGTCTCATTCAACCTCGCTAAGCGGGATGGAGGGGGTTGTATGTAGATGAGGTGATTGAAGCTTGTTGAAGTGGTAGAGCCTGGATTAAAGAAAACTGGTTTTTCCAACTGCTCTAATCCTGAATCAAGACAGAGAGGGGTGGAAAGGCACTAAATTCAGAAATATTTGATGAGTGGAAATTAAAAAAAAAATGCCTTGAGATCAATGAATGATGAAAGCAGCTGTAAAGTGAAAGCATTATTATTGTGGAATGAAGAAAGTGACACCGAGAATTAAGACCTGGCATGAGTGAAAGGGAGAGCCAGAGGAGGAGCCATGTGGGTCGAGAGTGGAGAGAGGAAAAATAATTGAGTTGCCATGAAAATAGACTGAGCTGAAATAATAACCAAAGAAGAAGGACAGAAGGATGGTTTAGTGAGGAGGAGATTTAACAACCTGCCCCACACTCCTTGGAAATTTTGTGGTCACTTGGTGCTTTATGTACTTTGCTTGAGGACAGGAGAAAAAAGGTGTATGGGAAGGAAACACTGTTTGCTCTTTATGATTTGATTCTTTTTATTTTTCTCCTATGCTTGTTTCCCTTCCTTTTTCAGGTGAAGTACTTCTGCATGATTTTAGCTGAAGGATGCTCTGCATTTCCTTGATTTCTATGGAGATCTCAGAGCCGGGTGTGCCCCTGCTGACACCTCATCTTGTACCTTCTCTACCTCCCAAGGTCTTTGCCTCTGTCGATAGCTTGGCATTGCCCCTGGGTCCAGGAAGCCTGTGATGAACTTGAAGGGAGCACCTGGAGAATCATCCTGATAGGCTTCGAGCAGCCATGGCTGGACGTACTTCAAGCCACGTGTTAACATGGGTCAAGCCGTCCCTAGAAGGCAAGTGCTAAGACTAAAGGCTTATTTGCGTTTTATTTAAATTTGATGGACTGAGCTTTGGACAATTTCCATGGCAGAAACATATATTCCATTTTCTAGGCACAACTGCTGGCTGTCAGATACTTGCCGCCTTTGAAATCTTGCGGCATCATCACCAACCACATCCTAGACGTATTTCCAAATTTGAACAGCCACCCAAAAACAGGTGTTTGGGAGACCCCACCATTTTTTGACTTGGGCTTGAGAGTGCTAGGTTGTTTATCTAGACCAGCCAAGCTCTGGAGAGCAATGTTGAATCCCTGGGAACAGAGAGCATGGGGCGTACTGATTTAAAAACAGAAAATGCAAAGTTGGACTGAAAATATCCTTAGTCTTCCAAGCAATCTGCTTAAGGGTTCCAAACTTACCTTAATTTGGTGAGAAAAGAAGCTGCCCTAGTTTTCTTTCTTCTTCTTCTACAACTGGAACCAGCCATTTCCCGAAACCACCACCATGGAGGTTGCAATGGTGAGTGCGGAGAGCTCAGGGTGCAACAGTCACATGCCTTATGGTTATGCAGCCCAGGCCCGGGCCCGGGAGCGGGAGAGGCTTGCCCACTCGAGGGCAGCTGCGGCCGCCGCCGTGGCAGCTGCCACAGCGGCCGTGGAAGGCGGCGCGGGGTCTGGAGGGGGCTCCCACCACCACCACCAGGCGCGTGGGGCCTGCACCTCCCATGACCCTCAGGGTGGCCGGGGGAGTCGGAGGAGGAGGCGCCAGCCGCCTGAGAGGAAGAAAGCCCACCACCGTCAGAGCAGCTTTCCTCATTGCTCCGACCTGATGCCCAGTGGCTCTGAGGAGAAGATCCTGAGGGAGCTGAGTGAGGAAGAGGAGGAGGAGGAGGAGGAGGAGGAGGAGGAGGAAGAGGAGGGCAGGTTTTACTATAGCGAAGATGACCACGGTGATGAATGTTCCTACACGGACCTGCTGCCTCAGGATGATGGGGGCGGCGGCGGCTATAGCTCCGTCCGCTACAGCGACTGCTGTGAACGTGTGGTGATAAATGTGTCCGGCCTGCGCTTTGAGACCCAGATGAAGACTCTGGCGCAGTTTCCAGAGACTTTGTTGGGAGACCCCGAGAAGAGGACTCAGTACTTTGACCCTTTGCGTAACGAGTATTTTTTTGACAGGAACAGGCCTAGCTTCGATGCCATCTTATATTATTACCAATCAGGAGGCCGCCTCAAGAGGCCAGTCAATGTCCCCTTTGATATCTTCACTGAGGAGGTGAAGTTCTATCAGCTGGGAGAGGAGGCCCTGCTCAAGTTTCGGGAGGACGAGGGCTTTGTGAGAGAGGAGGAGGACCGGGCCTTGCCGGAGAACGAATTTAAAAAGCAGATTTGGCTTCTCTTTGAGTACCCGGAGAGCTCCAGTCCAGCAAGGGGCATAGCCATCGTTTCCGTCCTGGTCATCTTAATCTCCATTGTCATTTTCTGCCTGGAAACTTTACCTGAGTTTAGGGACGACAGGGATCTCCTCATGGCACTGAGCGCAGGCGGTGCTGGGTTGTTGAATGACACTTCGGCTCCCCACCTAGAGAACTCAGGGCACACCATATTCAACGACCCCTTCTTCATCGTGGAGACAGTCTGTATCGTTTGGTTTTCCTTTGAGTTTGTGGTTCGCTGCTTCGCTTGCCCCAGCCAAGCACTCTTCTTCAAAAACATCATGAACATCATTGACATTGTCTCCATTTTGCCTTACTTCATCACACTGGGCACTGATCTGGCCCAGCAACAGGGGGGTGGCAATGGACAGCAGCAGCAGGCCATGTCCTTTGCCATCCTCAGGATCATCCGTCTGGTCCGGGTATTCCGGATCTTCAAACTCTCCAGGCACTCCAAGGGCCTGCAGATCCTGGGCCACACCCTCAGAGCCAGCATGCGGGAACTGGGCCTTCTGATCTTCTTCCTCTTCATTGGGGTCATCTTGTTTTCCAGCGCCGTGTATTTCGCGGAGGCAGATGAACCTACTACCCATTTCCAAAGCATCCCAGATGCATTTTGGTGGGCTGTGGTGACCATGACAACTGTGGGCTATGGGGACATGAAGCCCATCACTGTGGGGGGCAAGATCGTGGGGTCCCTGTGTGCCATTGCAGGTGTGTTAACCATTGCTTTGCCAGTGCCAGTGATTGTCTCTAACTTTAACTATTTCTACCACAGAGAGACTGAAAATGAGGAACAGACACAGCTGACACAGAATGCAGTCAGTTGCCCATACCTCCCTTCTAATTTGCTGAAGAAATTTCGGAGCTCTACTTCTTCTTCCCTGGGGGACAAGTCAGAGTATCTAGAGATGGAAGAAGGAGTTAAGGAATCTCTCTGTGCAAAGGAGAAGTGTCAGGGAAAGGGGGACGACAGTGAGACAGATAAAAACAACTGTTCTAATGTGAAGGCTGTGGAGACCGATGTGTGAATCTTGTTCTCCACCTGCCACTGCCCCCCCAACCCCAGTATCTCCAAATATATTTATGCATAGAGAGTGCAGTTATGAAAATGAAATATGCAAACGAACCTAATGCATATAGTAGTACGCCATTTAATGGTCATACGTGGTATAATTGTTACTAAACTTGTATTACATATCAAATAAATGATACATCTTGGGGAAGAGGGAGGCTAAAATAGGAGCAAATCTATCTTTATATTTTTTATTAGAATGCAAGAATTTTGCACATTAACTGGAAAAGATGTTAAAAGTAAAGATGATTCCATGGAGAGAATGAATATGTGTGCATTTGTGTGTGTGTGTGTGTGTGTGTATGTATGTGTAAGTAAATTGTCAACATTGTTCATAATTGTGCAGTGATGGGAAAAGTTGGCATTTTGAAGTATTTACTATGTAAGAACTAATGAATTCGAGCAGTCATTTGTTTTTTAAAAATTGTAAGAATTACTGTGTAGGAAAAAAAAGAAAGTGAATTATTTAATAGACTATAGGTCACAATTTTATCTTGGATTTAATTAAAGTTTATTTTTAACTGGAAATTAACTTTTAAAAAGGCTGTGAGGGCCTTTAGAAATTGATTATATTTTATTATTAATTTTGGGAAGGTATGACAGCAAATGCCTAACAATATGGAAGAAGTAAAATCGGAAAAAATGTAACAAGTTTTGTTCACAGATAACAGGACTGGAATTTTTTTTTTTTCCTTTTGCACTATTTTATATGCTGGAGATTGAGAGAGACTTCCTACTGTGAATGTTTCCTAATGTAACAGTTCAATGACAATCATTGGAAGAATGATTTCATAGTCTTATTTTATAGTTTTCTTTGTGTGAGACTAATGGCCACGCAGATAACAGCACATGATTCCCTTTTTTTAAAATCTAAATAACTGATCTGTAAAGGGAGTATGAAGTAAAATTTAGCAACTGAATCTTTTGAAATTGGACTGTTACAATGATGCTTCTGAGACCATACTATTTTAATTATTCTTCTGCCTTTTAAATCCAGAATAATTTAACCAAAGTTAATGCATGCACTGAAAGAATTCTTGAAGAAATAAGATGCCCAGCAGCTACAGTGATTATGGCTTAAGAGCTTTCTATTAAATGTGCAACATAAATGCTAGATTTATTAAGTTTATTTCTTTGTGCAGCTACATAAAGGCACAGTGTGGGGATTCATCTCAGAATTTAGCACTCAATTTGCTAAAACTGATATAAGGAAGAATTGTGTCAAAACATTTGGTTTTGATATCACCGTCAATATCATTTTTGTTAAAGGATCTTATGACACATGTAACTGTGTTTAATTCATGACAAGGGGTTCTAGAATGTGAGGTAACAGCTAGTGATCAGACCTGCACTATTAAGTCATAATGAGATATAGATTAGCAAATTTAGAGTCCATAAGAGGCCTTATTCTCCAGTGTTTCTTCAACATCTATTTTTTATAAAATGGTTGTCCTGAGGTTTGGGAAAAATATACTATGTGGCACATAATGAACTCTGACAACTGTGAATTAAAAAAAGCAAAAAAAAAAAAAAAAAAGATCTAGAATAGCTTTTCTCAAGCTTTTAAGTCCCAGGCCATCATTTGATAATAACATAATTCTTCTTTAATGATATTTGAAATTCCAAGGAAATCTAATGTTAGGTTTAAAAGGAAAGTTACACCCTTCTCCCACCCCTTCCCCACCACTTACAGAAAAACACCTCTCAAGAATACCATTTGGAGAATGGAAAGCAGCAAGCAGGGGAATTGATTGAATGCTCTGACCAAAGATCTCTAGTGGACAATAATAGAGAGTGACAAAACAAGCAAATGTGATCTTGTAATAAGACCTCAAAGATGACATTTTAATATATTTTGGATATGGTGCAAAAATGTAATAAGCATTAGACGAGGAGTAAGGCCATCTGGGCTGGTCACTCTTCATTTGAAAAAGTCACCATTAATCTCTGCATCCCAGTTTTCTCATTAGTGAAAAAAGAGGGCACATAAAGCTTTTGTTACATCACAGAGTTGTTATGGAAAGCAAATGAGAACATGTGAAAACTCTGAAATGCCGAGTTCCATATAAATGCCTGATGTTATGTCTAAATTGCTTAATCTTCCTCTGGGAGAAAGAGATTTAGAACCCATGAGCTACATCTGCTTTATTAGGATATTGTGAAAATCATGGGTAATTTCTTTAATTTTGAGCTCCTTACAAGAAGTGGGTATGAAGATGCAAGATAGCCTATCATTGAGTAATTACTGCAGTTTCTTCATTTGGGAGAAAGATCCCAGGCACGTCATGGTGTAAAAGGTTGACTCTGTGAATGAGGTACCATGTGTCTTTTTCTGTACCCAACTAGGTCAGATTATATCTTAAAATAGTTTAAATGCTCTCCAGCATTAGATGTTTATTGAACATTCTATAATAGCAATAGCGATGATTTGGCTATGTTTGGAAGGGAAAAGGTATTGTATTTCTACAACATCTCCTTTTTAAATCTGAAAGTTACAAATTTAGCTGAGATGTATTAGATTTGGTAATTCTGTGAATTCAAGAAATACAGTCATTTTGAGATCCTGGGGTTTTCCTTTATCTTACATAGTTTTCTGAGAGTAAAATGGTCAAGAAGTGACTGCCATGGGCTTCCGAACCAAATATTATTAGGTTATCACTAAATGTATGTATGTTTGTATTTTCTTTCAAGATGCCTTTATTTTAGGATGTCTGGATCTTGATTCCACACTAACAAGAAAGCATTTAAGCCCTCAGGATTTGTATAGGGCACTTTTATATGGAGCACTTCTCTTGTAGGGAATGTGTGAAGGTAGAGAATGTGTGAAGTGCAGCTGTGGATGTATAACATTTTTCTAAGTCAAAGCCAGGCAAAGTGCTTTAGTAGCATTTGTAAAATTTTATACTGAGAAATATACTTCCAGAGGGTAATTGTAACTGATTTGGGGAACTATCTTAGAGACCACCATACACATTTGGCTGTAAGATAAAAAAGAAGTGGTCCCATTTAGAGATTTGAATTTCGGGGATCTGGGATCCTATAGTTGCTTTTCAGATGATCCTGTTACCAAAAGTACAATATTTGAAGGTCATCCTAATCAGAGTCTTTTCCAGGGTGGATACATTGTTCTTTCTTTGCAAGTATTTGAAAAGGAAACATAACAGTCATGGAGAAGAGAGGAGCACTAACTATTCCTTTGAATTTCTGTGAAAGAGAGAGCTAGTGGGTGCCAGAGGAATGATAGCTGGTCTAGGAGTGGAGAGCTGGCTTGTTGACATTGGCACATCATTTCATCTTCTTGATTCTCAGTTTTTTTTTTTTTAAGTGTAAAATCAGGCTGTTGAGCTACATTATCACTTGATTCCTTCCAGCACGAAAATTCTCTGACGTTGAAGGAAGTATTAGACTAGCTTGATATTTTCTAGGTATTCAAGTCATACCAGCCTTGATTTTATAGTTAAGTAGCAAGAGCAGAAGAGTTTTAAAATTTCACCGTTGAGTTAAATGCAAGAACCAGGAGTTTGAGATTGAGTTTTTAGAGTGTAAGCTGATTGGACAGGGTGTCTTTTGACGCTCTTTATTCTAACAACTAAAGGAAGGGATTCCCTTAATTAAAAAAAAATAATAACTCAGTCTCCAGTTAAATACATATGGTGAAAGTTGGTAAGTAAACATTTTGATTTCTTGCTTTGTTATAGTACAGTCTTGTCAGTAAACAGAGTGTTCCGACCTGTGCTGGGGAATTCATTTTATGCTTAAACACGTGTAATATTTCACAAGTGCTACTGCTTTCCTTGTCAAATTTGTTTTAAACGGAATCACTGAAGCTTTGTGAAAATCTTTTCATTAAGCATGTGTTGAAAGAGAATCCACTATATGAATAAGACATTTCTATGGAAAGTACTCTGATATATCTATATATATCTATATATCCATTTTTTAGAAAGTTAACGTGAACCAGCAGAGAGTTATTTTTGATTGCATTAGAATCATAAACCATAGTATCCCCACAGCCCAACAGACACAGAAATCGTGTTCTCCATTGTTGATTTTGAGGATTGTGATGCGTTTTCAGCCATAACATTGTGGCTATTCCTAGGTCAAATGGGAAATACACCTAGGTTCAGTTGACATTTTTCGCTGAACATGTGATGTGCTCATGTGCACGATGCAGACTATAACATCCCTCTTTATATGTTTTTTTTTTTTATTGATACAGTATAGAATGATTACGGGTTGTCATTCAGTGACAAAGGGGCCTGTTCCAGGAAAACTTCCTGACCCAAAAGTCATTCTGAATTCTGCAAGGGACATTTGGTGTGGACAAAAGGTACTTCTCAGTTTTCCTGCCTGCAAAGAAGTTTGACTCAAAGCACAGGTTCTTCCAAGCCAATGTAACCAATACAGGTTAGAAGATAATCCTACTTTCTAGAATGGAGATCAGTATTCCTATTTGAAAGAAGGTTGATGGAGTGGTTTGTGTTCATGATTGAAGGAAGCAGAGCTATTTTTGCAGTAAATGGGGATGTGTACTTCTGAAATGTAAATTAAGATTAGGACTGTGATATGAGTTTTATTTCTGACTTGGTTCTCTGTTTCCATAGCAGTCCCAATTTCTTACAGTATCTTCATAAAAAAGTATGCTAATACATATCAGACCATATGGCCCAATCTGAGGTACAGAAAATATGGTTACTTTATTTATGGATAAATAAATTAATCCGAGGGTATGAGTTGCTTTGAAAAACATAGCACATATTTAATGAGCTATGGCTCTAAGTGAGACTCTAACATATCCCCGTTCAGTCCTGTCGGTAATACTAAGTGGTATCAGAATAGATGTATCAGGCAGATAATGTGCTAAATAGGATGTCTTACTATTGTCTAGGAAAGGATGTTCCCACATTTCACTGGTCATGGTGTTGCTGACCTGCAGTTAAGTTTTTTGATTTATTTGCCATCATTGGTGTGAGATGGAGGAGAAGGAGAATTTGTATCCAGAGTACCAGGAACTAAATGATTTTGATCGGTGATCCACAAATAGTCCACTTTTGCTTCCTGACTTGCAAATTATCTGTTGTATAGATTTTCCACAACTAGTTTCTCATCTGAGCTGGCTTTACTCAGGCTCAAAACCATTGTCTCCCTTTCAACAGCCAGTCGAGAAAAATGCAAAGTTGTAAACAGAAAACAGCATAGTACAAAGAAACAACAAACACACTGAAACTGGAAGGCCAAGCAAAACCTATTTGGAAAGCCAAGTCTGTTCAAATCAATATGTCATGTACATCAGGACGGAGAGGAAAGATTTAGGAATAACCTTTGGCACATCTCCTCATCATCAGCATAGTTAAGCAGCATGTGACTATTGTGGTGAATGCCATAAAGAAGACATAAGTTACTGAAAGATTATACAAGTTAACATTTTCTGTGAAAATGATAGAAATGCCAACTTACCTTAGAAGTGGTCTTAATAGTAATTATTAGGAATAACTACTAAATCTGGAAAATATGCTGCTTTTTTCCAGTTACTGGCGTTATGTACATTGGATTAATTATTCATGATTCTGTAGATTTTTCATGATTCCTAGCATATTTTTAAAGCCACAGAGCATGAAGGCATTTCAGTATGAAATGAATTTTAGCATGAAGCTACTGGGTATTGAAGGATCAGTCAGTCACCTCTTAAATCAGTTAAATAAATATCCCCTGTGGATATTGACTAAAGTTGTACCAATGCTGAGCCAAATAATTATATTTGTTTCAAAATAATTAGATTAATATATTTATATATCATACATTTAATATTCTACCTTTATTCTGGCCAAAGATATATAAGCAAAATGAATTGTCTGAGGCATGGAAAGAGACTTCTTGAAATGAAGTAAAAGTGTATAATTCTTGTATGTTTGGGGAAATAGTGAGACCTAAGGATTGCAAAACCTTTCTTTACACTCTAGGCTGGATTTTTGTGCCATATAACCAACCATAGTGGTATTAAAGCTAAGCTCTGAGACATTGCATGGGATAGGATATATGGGCTTTCATTCCCAGGAAGGATTCATTTTTATGTTTTATGAAACATTGCAAAATTTTC